AAAATTGGCAAAGAAAAGCATCTGCATGGACAAAATAGAACCTCTGAAATTCTCAAAAGAGCTCGAAGCCGTTGGTCACTTACGGTGTAGACCAGGTAGTAAAAGTCGGAGACGCATCGACATGGATGAAACTGACAGGGAACTTAACGGAAGATCAAGCAAGATTAACTGGACAGAGGAAAAGGACCAGCGGATGATGGATAAAGTCCTCGGGCGTTAATCTTAATACTGTCTGAGGGATTCACCCGTGCATTCGACTTCCATTCAGCATCGTAGTGGCGCATGGAGTGAGTGTGATGCCTATGCAATAACTTGCTATCGTCAGCCGATGTACGCTTCACTTACGCTTTTATCTCACAGATGAGTGTGGTACTATTTAACTGTCCCCGAAGTGATGGAAGTCTTGGTTGCCAGGGCTGATATTGATCCAGCATACGAACCANTACGCTTCACTTACGCTTTTATCTCACAGATGAGTGTGGTACTATTTAACTGTTCCCGGAGTGATGGAAGACTTGACTGCCAGGGCTGATATTGATCCAGCATACGAACCAGTGACACCATGTAGGTGTAGTAGTAGCACCACTTGCAACTACACCACCACCTCTCAGGCAAGGGATATCAACCGTTTCTGTCTCTATGAAAAGCACTAGACTTTCAATCGGCACTGCTTCTGACCATTTCTTATTGGAACCACATACCATCACTTCCCTTATGAAGTCGAACGAATGGTGTATAAAACAAAGGAACATATGAATAATCGTTCGTATTAGTACACTTTTTTCTAGGCATTGGTTTTCACCTGTGGACAATTCGCATCTTTATTCTCAGTGCTCTACAACACGCGCATGGTTACGGAACCGAATCCCGCATCGATTTCCGTACGGGCCATCCAAGTCTTCCATCTCTCCGGGATCAGCTAAATGGTACCAGACTTGTCCGGGAGGATAAATGCGGCGACAGTACCATCTGGTAGCCGCAGCAAGACCACATGTCATGCGAACCAGGATTGGCATCTGCCTAGGCCTCCCAGGCCTTCAATATTCTTAGCCTGTGAATGCGTCTCAGATTTGTAAGGGAGGATAAACGCAGTACACTAGCTGGCTTCACATGTCGTTTTATGCATCAGCAACACATTCGAAACCACTCCTTCAAATGAAAGGTGAGTGGGTGAGCAATCCAAAAATGGGGCTCAAACGTCGAAATCCTTGTACTTTACACTCTGATACTAGGCCTTTGAAAAGGAAAAATATGTTCAGTATCGGCAGCAGTAATAAGATAATCACCGATGTTCCCGTAACGTAACCCATAAACCATATGATCAGAGCTATTAACAGAGTATCATAGCGTTCTGTCCGATGCATATTCGACGCATGTACCTTGACAGCGAGAGGAATGCGCTTTTCTTCATAATGATTACTCGTCTTTTTGTTTCTTTTGTGATTTTATCTCGAAATTTTCCATTTTCTATAACTCCGATTACCTCCGGAGTCGCTGTGACTGAAGGAAGCTAAACCTAACTACCTTTCGGGCTCTGACTGAATTTTATTATGCATGTTTTGGTGTCATAACTTTTTTTCCCAAAATATCGCTGTCAAAATGATGGATTTGAAGTTTATCTGCCAATTATCGATCAGATCGAGTCGTTGGGCTCTGTTTGAACTCTCACCGGTTGTCGAGTAAACACCTTTCAACGCATTGATTGCACATGGGTGAAGTGCTATAGGGTTTACAAAGGGATACCGTCCGACGTCGGCATTTGTATTCTTTAACCTCTAAGACGATTATAGCCTTTCAACAAATCGAGCTTTCAACTTGCAATCCTTCTTCTTTACTTCCCTGAGGCCGTTGGAGGAAATCTGACATCACTATCTCGGGATAAAATGGATTCGTACCTAAATCCTCTTATTCCTTTCCCAGTTATCAATCCATGAATACGAGGTCTGATAGGGACTTTTGATTTTTTTTCCTGGGTTCTGAAAAGAGGTGACGTAATGCACTGATCCCATTGCTTGTCGATCTATCTATCTAGAACAAAGTATTATTCATTTTTGATTCAGAAAATTTATTGCCATTTTTCATCCATTCTAGCGAAAACTGTTTAGAAAATTTCCTAATCAACACTCTTTACTAAAATAGATGACCTACGGGCCTTATTTTAGATGTTACTTCCAATTGGTGCCAATGGTTGGCTTAACCTTGTGAAATCGCAATTTGTTCCGCTTTTCTCATTCAATGTGTAGGCATTGGCTCGATTCCAATGCATTATCGTCGAGACAGCTGGCAAGGTGTTGGCATTTCCTTGCTAGTTGCCCCGCCATGGAGCATGCTGTTTGATCTCAGAGCTTGTTATTTCTTTCGATCTTATTGGTGATGCACTTCAACACTCGATTTGGCGCTCTATTCGATCAAAGGGGAATTCCAAATGGTCGGAGTTTTGTCATCTTGAAGATTTCGGCTTCAGTTAGTTACTGCTTTTGTTTCTGAGTATGATTCTCAGGTTTTTACTAAGCCTTTCCCGTTCACGTCCCGAGTTCCGCCTTGGTCCTGGCCATGCCCCGGAGACATCTAACTAGAAGATCTTTTTTGATCCATATCAATCATGGCATTTCTCCTTTTTTGGGCTAACTAACAAGCGAGCAGACAAGAATCTAGTGAGATAAAATTTTTATAGACTACTTCACCAAGCTTCTGGACTTCTGATCTTACAATTAGTTTGTTATTAAGTATGGCGGTCCTGAACAAGGCAAAAACCTTTGCTTATAAACATTCAGTATAACATATTTTTCAACGGATTGATAGGAAAAAACCTCCAGAGAAGCATGCCAGAGGAAAAACGAAGTGTCATCCCGTCCCACTCATTACAGGAGGTCTGATTCCTTTCCTCAGAACCTCCATGAAAAAGTTCGATGCTCGACAACGTCCTTGTGTTTGTTTAACGTGCTAGGAACCCACTGTGTAACCACCGTAATCTAAAGGTCATGGAAAAATCGTATGGAATGTCCGGCTCTCCTGATATTTGATTCCTTAGCTGATACAACTTAATATTTGTTCGTTGACAGCTTAGGTTTATCGGGAAACATACCGATAAACCTAAG